CTTTCAGAAAGAACGTAAGCTTTGCTATTGATATTGGAAAAGTCGACAATAAGATTGAAGAAAAATAAACAAACATACATTCCCTTTCTAAGAGACAATCAATGAATGGTTATGTAATTTTAATCAATTAATTTTTATATAAATACTCCCAAGCAGTGGAGGATCCCGGGGCTCTGACCGTGTGCCTTCACTAATAAAAGCTTTCGAGGCCCCTATTTTCGTTGGACCCTGGGAAAACACCCGCCCCATCCTTGCCCCAAGAACGGCCTTGAATGCAAGATTCATTGAAACCGTCTGGATGAACATTTGGCATCTATCTTCTATGCAAGAATCTTACTTGGTAAGAGCAAAGGCAAGGACCGAGAGTCTTACCCGGTAAGTGATGGCAACGATTTTTACCATGGTTAACGCTTATGGGGTAAATTGTTACATATGATGCCATTTTGGTGAATTAAGACTTTATGTAAATGATAGTCTTGAATTTTACCTGTAAGCACTAACAGGATAAGTGCTTGGGTAAACGGTCCCTTCTGAGTTCATAACACCAGGGAAAGAATACCTGGAGTTGTTCCAGTTTATTTATTTTTAGTAGCTGTCAGGAGAGGAAAGAAAATAAACTACAGTATCATTACAAAGTGTCTTTTGAAGACATCATTTTAGTTACAGTTGATCTTCGTGTGGACATCTTGTGAGAACGTTGGTTTCCTTGGACAATAGCTATGGAGAAACGATGGAGTATATATTCAAACAAAAAGTTATATGCCTTCAAGGGCTTATAGAGTTCATGTGGCATTGCCAACATTACATCTTGTTAGACTTCAGCTATGGATCATAATATCATATACAGATTAAGATGAGATTATGAGAAGATTGCAGCAATGAGAATTAGGAGCTAATTTTTTCTCATACATTCAGCAACTTGTAACCTTACGGCTTAGTCATTTGAGAACTTTATATATTGTGATAACCATGAGAACTTTTATCTTATGTTTCACATATTTTTTTCTCATCTAAAACTATAATATATTGATGAACTTATATTCGTTTCACAATACGTTTTCTCAGTTAAGACAGTATAGTCTATCCACCTTTCCCATTTGTCGAATACTATCATAAAATTGATCAACCTGATTTATCATTCGGTAACCATCTTTTGGCAAGCTACCATGAGAAAGACGATATAACATTAGGCTTAATCCCATAAACACCAATACATGTGGTTCACAATGTGAAACTTTTTTACTTGTAACTTTTGTTTCACAAATGAGCTAAAAAGGTTCACATTGCGAAACAAATATATGTTAATCGATATTATAAATCCTAGTATTAGAATAAAAAAGCCCACATGAAATAACAAATGATGCATTAGTTCTTAATGTTATCACAATTTCATAGGTTCTCGTACCAAATTTTCAGAGGTGCAAGTCAAGGAACCACTGGAACCCAAGAACC